GCAGGGCACCAGTGTGACCCTCTCGGGGCTGGAAGGTGGGGTGCTGAAGGAGAGGCTTTGCTGGACACTTTTCCAGGTGCCACCCCAGTGTGACTGAGGGGGTGATGGTGACCGTGGGGTGATGCTGATGGCTCAGGTGGCAGCTGGGTACCTGTCCTGTACAGCCAGGCCCCCACCGGGGACATCGTCCTTCAGGACAGGGTAGGCTGGCTGGGGGACCCTCAGGCTGAGAGCCTCAAATGAGGAAGACGATGGGCACCGAGGAAGAAGATGGGCGCTGTCGGATGCGGGTGAGGAGTAGGTGGCTGCCTGGGTGCCAGGTAGAGGAAGAGCCCTAGGTGCGGTGTCCCAGAAAGTCTGCCTGCTCTTCCCAGCAAGGCACTGTTCCTGTGTGATGCCAGCCCCCTGATGGCTGAGTGGTGGCCCCGGCTAGGAGGAGAGTGAGGACCAGTGTGTGTTTTCCTTGTTTTCCTTCTGCCCCAAGCCATTCATTTCACTTCTCTTGCAGCCAAGTGGCAAAAGTGTTACGCAGGAGGCTTCTAGCACAGCAAGAGCTGCTCTCCCACTGCTGCCCCAAGGGCTCCGGTGCTTCCCAGGCATTTGGGCAAAACCCCAGTGCTGGAGGGCTGTGAAGTCCTGGAAATGGCCAGTTCCTGTGCAGCTGCAAGAGGGTGGCTTTTACTTAAGGGCTCAAGGATGAACCCCAGCTGGGGGGGCAGGAGAGGGGACACCCCGGGCAAAAGCAGAGTGGCAATAGGAAGCTTGGTTAAAACAAAGGGTCTCCCATTGTCTGCCCCTGGACTCCTGTGGTGAGAGGGCTGTTCCATGACTCCTTGCAAGCAAAACAGCCTCGGGGGCAGCACAGGAAGTGTGGTGCTTTTCCGGCCTCGGCTGGAGAAATGGGGAAGACGAAGCTTCCTCAAGGATTTGAAATTTGCAATCTCAGCCTCCCCGGTGGTGTGTAAGCACCCTTATCTGAGCTATGTTAATAAATTGGCCAGTTGTTTGGATGGCTGCGGGCAGCATGTGACTGGTGACAGCGGGTCACAGCTGAGGGCTCCTGCCAGCTGGAGAGAGGAAAATGCAGCTTTGCTGCTTGCGAGCGTGGAAAACAAGCACCTCTGTGACTGTTTTGGTTGTTTTTTTCCCTGAGTAAGGTGCTGCAAGGCAGGGATCCTTCTTCCACCGGTTACTGAGTAGTCAGGCAGATTGGTTTGTGGGTTGGTGGGTTTTTTTGACTCTTTAGGCAGGGGTGAGGTTGAAATGACCAATCCTCAAGGGCTGGCAAACCACCCGTCCTGAGGCTCTGGGGGAGCATACTGGGGAAATGGCAAGCGAGTGTCCCATGGGAAAGCTGGGAAGGTGGGGGGACGGGGCCACCCTGCCCTGGGTCCAGACCTGATCCGGTCCCCCTGCCCTGCTGACCTGTACCCCTGGGGTTGCCATCCTCCACGGTGGCACTGGTGCCAAGAGCCACCCCTGTCTATGGAGCAGGGGTATTCCTCCCCCAAATGGGAGTGGAAACAGGTTCTGAACATGGGCACGGATTTCGGCTGTGGTGCTGCTCCTGTCACCTGGAGGTCACCTCTTAAGGAGGGTTTGGATAAATTGGCTGGGACAGGGTATGGCCCTGGCATGCAGCAGGAGGGTACAGGCTCCCGTAGGGACCATAGCTGCGCGTCCCCCCTTGTGCTCCTCTGCTTTTCCTGGCTGGGTCTTGTTTGCTTGAGCTGCGCCGTCACCCAGCGATATGGGGCTGCACTGCCTGCCCAGTGCTTGTCCATGCAGGGTCCCTCTGGACTGGCCCCAGCTGCGTCCCCCAGCTCTCCCACTGCCTGCCGGCCACTGCAGATGCTCAGGCTTTTAGGGAAATAAGACCCAGGGAGAGGAACTCGGGGCTCTGGGTCAGCATGGGCAAGGCAGATGGCTGCTGTTTGCACTTGGGCCTCTGTGTTCTGAAGCTGGCAGCTCTCGCAGCTGTGTGCCCCGCTCCAATGGGAGTGACCACCTCCTGGGGCAGGCAAAGGAGCGGGCTCTGAGGAACCCGGAGTTTTAAACCACTGAGAAGCTCTTCAAAGTACTGAGGTGTCTTTTGTTCTTTTCCTTCCTGTAGGTTGTCACCAGTATACAAACAGGAGCTGTGAGGAGTGTCTGAAAAATGTCACCGTAAGTAACAGCCGTGAACTCCCAACCTGTTGCCGTGCCTGAAAGCATGGTGTGGGCTTTGCGGGGCTGTTGGGGAGCAGCTTCCCTCCTGGAAGTGGGGGGATGCTCCCCGGCCCTTGTCTGGAACATGCTGCATCCCCTACCCGTGATGGCGAGAGGGCAAACATCCCTTGGCCCTCTGGGAAGAGGGTGTTAGAAGCTGCTTGGGTTTCATTGTGTGCTTTTTGAGCGGAATGTAACAGAGCTCATCCTCACGGATGGGGAATGTGCACGGTGAATGTGCCGAGAGGGTGGAGCTGCCCCTCCACCAGTCTGTGGGCGCAAGATGCGTACCTGGGTCCTGCCACCCTCTGCCACCTTATCTCTGATATCAGCAAACTTGAACTTGAGTCAGATATCACAGCTGACTTCACCAGAACCAGTTTGACCAAATGCAGCTGAATGCTGGTGTCGGGGGTTGGAGCCACTGGAGGAGGAGGAGGAGGAGGAGAGTGCAGAGCTGCTGCAGGTGGTCTGGCTGGAAGAGACTAGCGAGAGCATGGGCAGGCCTCTCCTGCTCATTGGCTCTGCCTTCGGTGTCTCCTCTCAAAGGCTTGCTTCTTGTCCCAAAAACACTGCAGGGAATAAACGGGAGGGATTCGGTGATTACTGCCATAGTGCGAGCCAGGGGGAGGGTTCTCAGCATCTTTACTTGCTCTAGAAATCCTCAGGCCCCTTGCCTGCTCTCCCGGTACAGGCCAGCTTGGTGCAGCCCGTGCTGACCAAACACAACTGTTACTCCCCAGCATCCCATTGCTGCTGGGTGGTACCTGGTCCGTGGGAACAGGCAGCAGTGGCCCCGTTGCTGCAGCTGTGCACCAGTAACGCTGTGCTGCCTGGTTCCTGTGTCCCAGTGCCTGTGGTGTGCCAGCAGTGGGAGGTGTGTGGAGTACCCTGTCCGAAGAGTCCTCCCCCCAGCTGACCTCTGTGAGCTCCGCTCTGCACGCTGGGGCGTCTGCTGGGGTAAGTGGATTGCACTGGAGCGATGGCCGCCTTTAGTGCTTGCTGCCGAACGGTGTGGGCTGCCGCTTGCTGTTTCCCTTGCCTCCCTTTCTCCCTGCCGGCGTAGCAATGACGTGCTGAAGTCAGTCAGGGTTCTCCAAACTTCCTGAAGCGTGGGTGAGAAAGCACAGCGTGAGCAGTCCCTGCCTTCTGGCAGGAAGGACCTGCGGGGCTTTAGTGACTCTAAATACATTCCACATCCCTTTTGGTGTGATGGAGACTTCCATGTGTGGCCAGCACCTGGGAACTAGAGCTGAAGGTGCTCTGTGGGCAGCCGCCCGTGCAAGCCTTCCTGGTGCTCCGAGTGGGCACACCAGCATCCGACCCTGTGGCAGCTCTTTCCTCTGCACCCTGTGCACCGTTCCTTGCATGGCTTCTGGCTCCTCACCTGTAGCAGCATGCCCACTGTCTCGGGCAGGCTCTTAAAATTTGTGGGGGCTTTTGGAACGAGAAGTGAGGTGACTTCTCTGGAGGCCTGCATGGGCTTCTAGTGCAAAGGGCGCTGCGGTTGTGCTCAGCTCTTACCCACTTGAGAAAATACCCTTGTCCAAAACGAGCCCTGCATCTGGGTCAGCTCCAGGAGCTGTTTCTGGCTGCCAGCTGGCTGTCAGCTGCCTTTCCTCCTTGGTGCTTTTTGTCCTGGTGGGTTTCTGGAGAAAACAGTGTCTTATTTAGGCCAGGCTTAGTGCAAGCTCATGCTCAGACAGGGAGCAGGCTGGGGCTTGATTCCTCTCTCCTGTCCCCTTGATGGGGAACTTGGGAGTTGAATTGTGGTTGCCTGACGTCTGTTGTGCTGGAGGCTGGGCTCTCTACCTATGAGAGAGTTAAAACCGCTCCCATTCCTTGTGGAGGAAGAATCTCCTCTTTGTGAGCACTGCAGTGTGTAAGCCTGAAACTTGTGTAAGACCTTGAAATACTAGTTTGCATGTGAGTAGCTTCATAAAAGGTTTTATTATGGAAGAACGCATTCCTCAGCCTGTAAAACTGGCTTTAGAGGAGATTAGTCCTGCAGGACATTCACTCTTAAATGAGTCTGCATTTTTGGTGTGTGGGACTTAAGCCTTTATCCTCAGGTGGAGGAGTGCCTGGTGCTCTGCCATGGGCCTCTCTCTGAGGGAACGAGTGGTCTGAAGCCCTGACTCACCCCGAAAGCCAAGGGTTCAGAAGCACCGATACAGACATGTGCTGGTGAAGAAACTCCCTTTTGAGCTGAAGAGCCTTCTTGGGTTTGGCTCACCCCTACCAGGCTGACTTCTAATCCTTGGCCTTTTGGGCTCTCCCCTACATGGTCCTGTGGGTCTGTTGCAGTGCAGCCAGTGAAAACTTCATGTTGCTCAGAGGCAAGACGGTGCTGTGGGCATTCAGGTCTCAAATACCGTCTTTCTCAAAGCCTTACCAGGAACACGGACCTGCAGGCCTCCCTGCTGTTGGGTGACTGCTGGAGGTCGGCGGCTGGTATCTCGAACCACAGTCCTTGCACGGTGCTTGCCATGGTATCCTGGGTAGGGATGCAGGATGGTTTGAGAGTCAGATGGCACAGTGGCTGGCAGCAGTGACGCCCTCCACTGAGAGCAGGAGCTGGAGACTTTGAAAGCAACTTCAGCTCAGCCTGGAGCACCCCAGTGCGACCCCTAGGTCTCTGCGGCCAGGGGACAGGTGGGCATCTTCCGAAATGCACCATGCTCGGGCTTTGCACTGGGCCAACGGTCTGAGCTGCACGGAGAAGAGGGGATCAGAGGTGCTCCGAGCAGGCTCAGGTGCACTAAGATTTCTGTAGCTTGGCTGCTGTGGGTGAAGTGACTCCTAAACAAATATTTCCCCAGGACCAAGTCTCTGAAGAGTCTGAATCATACTTGGAAGGAATCCATCTTTGTAGCAGAGGATTTCAGGTGATATCTACATCTGTTCTGGCTGGCGTCTCTGCTGTCATCACCGCAGGAGCAGAGCGGGACAACTGCCTTGCTGGGGCTGGGGCTCCAGGCTGCTGCTTCACCACCGTGTCCCAGCAGATTTTGTGCTGTGCAGGGGCAAGCAGATTCCCCCAAGCCCTGGGGAGATGTGGGGTGGCGGGGTGCATGAAGCAGCCTTCAGCTGCTTCAGCAGCACTACTGGCCCCAAGTTCATAAATCCCAGTGGATCTTGTCCTGCTTTGTCTCTTGCACAAGGACTCCGGGCACCCATAAGTGCCTCCGGTCCACTGTCACCTCATCTTGGATGACTTTGGAGGCTCGCTCCTGTGGGCAATGACTCCAGTGCCGGCTGTGGTCTCTCTGTCAGAGGTTGCTCTTCAGCACCAAAGCCTCCAGTTGGTTTTTTTTCCTCCCTTGAAGGGTTACTGTTCACCTGGGTTAGTGATTAAGACAGCTTTGCTCCTGTTTCTGCTGGAGGAGTTTGACCTGAGTATGTTTGTTCTTGCCTTTCTTCATAGCTAGTAGCCCAGTGCTTACAGTTAGCAGCTACCTATGCTCTGTTGGTGTGTATGTGCTGGTGCCAGCACTTGGAATACCGACAGATAACAATGTCTATCTTGCTTTCCCAGGCTGCTACGCATGTCTTCAGCCAGCAACTGAAGCTGTTGGTGACAGTAGCTGTGTGCTTGTAAATACTGTAACTGCAGGCAGCCACGTATTTGTGTGCTAAATGTGTTCTGTCAAATCCTTTAGTGAACTTTGAAGCCCTGATCATTGCGATGTCTGTGGTGGGAGGAACGATCCTTATCATGTTGGGGGTCTGCTGCTGCTGCTGTTGTAAGAAAAAGAGCAAAAAGCAAGTATCAGAGGGGTCCCCTGTTTTCCTGGAGTAGCTCAGATGCAACCATGGGCTGTTGCAGAACTGAGTGCCTGGCGCTGCTAATGGACTCTTCTGTCTGTCAGGCCAGACAAGGATGATGAGCGAGCGGCCAGGGAGCGGGAGAAGAGGCGGGTACGCAAGCAATGTCTTTCTGGGGTGACCTGTGGATGCAGCATTGCAATGGTGCTGTGTACCTGACTCCCCGCGGGCTGCTGACACGTGTGGGCTCTGGTGGACCCCGGTGCCTCCAGGCGGTGGGCAGCAGGGGGCTGAGCAAACCTGGCAGCCTGGAGCTCCCTGGGTTGGGAAGAAGCAAGGAGCTGTAGCTCCTCTTGCTTGGGTTTGTATCACCAGTCACTGAATCGTAGTTTTTCTGTTTTGCTTCTTGCAGGAGAGCAGAGATGAAAACACGGCATGATGAAATTCGAAGAAAATATGGTACAGTGCTGACGCGAGCAATTCAAGCCAGCCTTTAAATTGAGCAGCCTCAGTAACCGTGTTCCTTGCTGTGGTTAAAGCTGCAGAGGAGACCTGGCCAGCAGGGAGAACAGTCTCCGCTTCCCCTGTCTCAGTGAATTGCTCTCTTGCCCTCTGGGAGCAAGGGTAGAGATGCTCAGGCCATGGCATGTGAGCCCATGCAAACGCTGCCCCTCTTGGGCAGGGAAGAGGGAGTGTTTAACGCTCCCTGGGACCTGTGTCCTCTGAACTCACCACATGGGAGAAGCTGAAGGGGTTTGACTGGAGGGGAGAAACAAAAGCTGGTAGACACGGTGCCAGCTGTAATGCTGCTGCCCTTCAGGCATGGCCCTTCAGCAGCCCTGTGGCCACTGAGTGGCCAGCAGCCTGCTGGGGTGGTCCAGGGAGGCCCACAGCTGCAGGAGCACAGAGCAGGCACCAGCACCCACAGTGCTGGTTCTCTGTGCTGGCAGCAGTTCCTGGAGAGGTGGCTGGGTCCCCTGGGTTCTGGGAGTGCACAGGCTCCCTCCTGGGACTGGGCTGTCCTTCAGGTGAGTCCCATGGCCCTGGGGAAGGTGGGGGGTCCTCACCTCAGACCTGCCTGAGGGGGGGAGCAGCCTGGAAGGAAGCAGGGAGCAGGCAGTCTCGTTCAGACCTGCTGGAGGGAGTCTCTCTGGCCTGGCTGGCAAGGGCTCTCCCAGGGCGGGTGTGGAGCAATCGGGCTCATGCACACCCAGCATAGTGGTCTCTGGCTTTGTGGGGGCTGCAGGGAAGGCTGGATACCTTTATTCAGCCTGCCACTGCTGCCCATTGCAGCCCCCAGGTTGGGCAGGAGATCTGGGGGTCTCTGGCTGGGCTGGCCCCTCTGGTGGGGAAGAGCAGGCAGAGCTGAGCCTGAAGGAACACTTGGTGGGGGGAGCAGCTCGTGGAGGTGGGGGAGCTGTGCTCCAGCTCTGTCTTGCCATGCCAGGGCTCTATCTTGCTGCAGCCTGACTGCAGAGTTTGCCATCTCGTCCTTTCTGGCTGTTCCTCCTCAAAAGTGCTGGGAAAGTGGCCACAGAGTGGCACAGGGGCTTGTTGCTGGCCCAAGGGTCAGCCCAGTATCCTTGCTCTGCTGTCTGTGGATGTAGGAGCAGGTCTAAGAACAGCTTGAATTTAACTTGGGGCGCTCTGCCTTGAGTCCAGTCCACCAGAAGGAGTTGCAGAAGGGGTGCAGCTCTGTCATGCTGCTTTACCTGGCTTTTGTCTCCATTGCCTGGGAGATGGGCTTGCCGTCAGGTTGAGTGTCTTGATGGGTCTCTCCTGGTGTGCAGAGGAGAGTGAAATGATGTTGACTGCATGCATGGCTCGAGTAAGAGTGGGTCCCTTGGAAGGACTGTGGGACAGGAGGCTGGATGAAGCACGAATCACAGTTGTAACAGAGAGCTAGGTTTCTTGCTGGCTGTGACTGGTGTGGCTGCTGCCACCTGAATGAATCGCTCTTCTCTTCTAGGCCTCTTCAAGGAAGAGAACCCTTATGCCAAATTTGAGAATTAGAACCTCTGGACCTGCCTGCCCTGGTGACCAGTGTCTTCCCGCAGAGCTGCAGGACTCCATGCTTCCCCTGCCACGAGGAGACCACTGCGGTGCCACTTTGGCTGCCACAGCTGAGCTAAACGCTCAGTGACACCATTGTCCCCACTCCAGATGCTCGGTTTGCTCCAGAGCTTTGCCCTTGCTCTACTGGTGCAGGAAAACACGGTGGCAATATTGGAGAACAGGTTTCTTCTCACTCACCCCTGGGGTGGTAACAGGGTCCAAAGCAATGCAAAGAACAGTCCTTGTCCCTTGCTGAGGGCAATAGCAACCCCATGCACCTTTCTTGCTCCTGCCTCACCAAATACCCTTCACACACACACATCCAGGCTCCTCTGTCCGCCCCCTTTCTTTTTTCTCTCTTTTTGTATAGGCAAAAGCCAGCAAGAGTTTCTCAACTCCTTGGTCAGCAGGAGGTCTTGGCTGTTACTCCAGGTGCCTGTACTTGGCCCAGCACATTCGCATTCCTTTCAAAAAGCACAAGTTTCTGGTTATCTTGGGCTTCCAGGAGGAAGATGCCACATGCATGTTCTCACTTGCAACTAATCTGGGGCAATGCCCCAACTCTTCTACCTCTCTGTGCCTTTCTAGAAGGGTGGTGTCCTGGGCTTGATGGCCATGGCTGGGGACAATACTGTAGGATTTGGGTGCCTTTATAATATGTTGATTATATATTAAACTGATTTGATTACGGTCCTAATCTGAAGGAGTTGAATTCTGTTCCACACTGGGTATGGGGTGGCAGCGAGGGATGGTTGGGGGAGGCGCCACCAGCGCCTGGCCCTGGCTTGTCAGGCCCTGGATGGCATAGCCGAGGGAGGCAGAAGCGAGGCTGCCTTGAACTCTGGCTGTGCTTGGGAGGAGGGGTCTGTTCCTGGAGGTGTTCAGTTGTTGGGGAAAGATGGGTGCTGGGAGTATCACTGCTCTGTAAGGAAGGAGGTGGGTCTCTGTGAGAGCTTGGTCAGTGTCCCCTCTCACCCCTGAGAGCCCTTGTCAAAGCGGGGTGACCTGGGGGCTCCTGGTGGTGTTGGGCACAGGCTGAGCCCCATGCTGTGCTACCTATGCAATTAACCCAGGGGTGGGAGCTGACTGCTCCTGCAGCTGACCAAAACTGGCTTTGCAGTATGAAGGAGCCTTACATGCAGGCAATACATCTGCCGGCACCATTTGTCTCTGAAAAGCTGACTCCTGCCTTCTGCCAGGTGGGGTGACTCGCTCTGGGCTGTTGATGGTGGTGTTTCTGTGCTGGGCTTGCCTAAAATGCTCTGTTTGCATTGCCAGACTTGCAGCCCTCGGACACAAACTGCTCGAGCTAAACTTCTGAAGCTAAGCCAGAATCTGGCTGGCTTTTGCCAGGATGGTCAGAGATGCGGGACTTGCAGGTGACTTTTGAGCTAGGCTCTGGTTGCTGCCAGAGGATCGTAGAATCATAGAATGTTTTGGGTTGGAAGGGACCCCTAGAGATCATCTAGTCCAACCCCAGGATACTCTGCTTCAGGTGGTAGGGACAAAGCGGATGGCTCTGCCAGTGCTGAACGAGCACGTGGTCTTGCAGCTTGGGCTCCTGTTAGCATGGAGGATGCTGCAGTGCTGGGAGGAGGGCTGAAAGAGCAGGGTCAGGTCGCCAAGCTCTCACGGGTGCTTGCCCATCTTCTGTCCTGGTCCCTTGGACTGGCTGGGCCGGGGCTGCATCCTGGTGCTGCCGGTGGGGAGCTGCAGGAGGTGGTGCCAGCATCGTATTGGCTGTGCGGGGCTGGGAGATGGTGTTTTAAAGACATCCCTGATGCCCTGCGTTCGGTTTGCAGCTCCTTGTGCAAACTGCCCCGTGTGCTTGGAAAACAAAGTGTGGAGCCCTGGAAGGAGAAGTGAAAATGTCGATAAAGATCCTGGTTGTGGCCTGTACTGGGTACGCTGGCCCGGAGGGGCCATGGTCCCTGCGATACAGGGGGAGCTTTTGTGGGTGCTTTGCTTAAGAACAAGCAATGTTTGGGGGCAGCTGGTGCCAAACCCCAAAGCTGTTAGAGCTGCCTTTGCCCCTCCAGGGCTGAGGTGGGCTCTGGGTCCCATCCTGCCCTGGGGACAGGGATCAGTGTAATCCCTTTTGGCTACCTGAGTGCTTCCCCTAGCCCTGCTCCCAACACTGAGGGGTGGTGACCCCAAAGCCATCCGGGAGGGGGAACCCCTGCGAGCAGGTTCCCCTGGCTAGGACCCTGCTCGTTACAGGCTCTTTCCTCTGCTGATTTTTTTTACCTGCAGACCAGCAAGGGAACAGGGTCCCTGCCTGGATGGAGCAAAACTCTGCCCTGGGGGCAAGCGGAGGGCACACTGTCCTGCCAGGGCAGCACCGGTCCTCGCTGGGTGGAAGTGCTGCATCCTCTGCTTGCGTCCTGGCTCCAGCATCCCCAGCCCGGGGGCTGCCTTCCACAGCCTGCGACAGAGCTGCTGCTAATTTTCCTCATTACTCCTGCGAAGGCTGCGGGGTGCGGGCACAGTGTGGCTGATGGGCTGCAAAGGTGTCGATCCCTTTGGCTGGGCAGGCCCGCGGCGGGGAGGTGAAGCAGGGTCCTCGGGTGCCTGAGGTGCCTGCCCAGGTCTGGGAAGAAACGTGTCTGCGCTGCAGTCGAGAGCTGGGCCTGGCACCTACAAAATACCCTTCAGGAGGATTAATCAGCCTTTTGTGGGGCTGCCGGGCTGGGAGCAGATGGCGATGGGGATGGGGTGGCTGGTGCCCGCGGCGAGGACAACGGGCACTGGGAGGATGCACGAGGGAAACTGGAAATAAGGGGTTAAGGTCTGGGAAGAAACGTGTCTGCGCTGCAGTCGAGAGCTGGGCCTGGCACCTACAAAATACCCTTCAGGAGGATTAATCAGCCTTTTGTGGGGCTGCCGGGCTGGGAGCAGATGGCGATGGGGATGGGGTGGCTGGTGCCCGCGGCGAGGACAACGGGCACTGGGAGGATGCACGAGGGAAACTGGAAATAAGGGGTTACCGGCGTGTAATGGGGAGCTTGGCTTTGAGCCCCGGGAAGGCGTAAGGATCGGGGTGCTGCGGCTGTGGGACAGCCCTGGCACCGCAGCCTGCCGAGAGGGCCGCTGCCCGCG